TCCTTCCTTCCTTCCTTCCTTCCTTCCTTCCTTATTGATCTGTGTAGGGCCTTCCAGTACAATGCTGAATAGGAGTAGTGTGAGCAGACTTTTTTGTGAATAGTCTTTGGGTGAAAGCAATTAGTGTCAGAACATTAAATATGGTGTTAGTATAGAGTTTTTGTCAATATTCTTTATTGGGTGGACAGAATTTCCTTGTATTCCTAAATTGCTGAGCGTTGGTTCCCGGCCCCCTCACAAATGGATTTGAGTTTTATAAACTGTTTTTTTTCACATCTTTTGATATGATTGTATACGTTTTTAGTTTGTTAATATGAGGAATTATTTTGATAGATTTTCTATTGTGAACCAAACCTGCATTGCTGGGATAAACTCCACTTGATGATATGTATTATCCTACTTATACATTGCTGAATTTGATTTGCTAACAATATTTTGTTAGGAATTTTTGAATTTATGCTCATGAGGTATATTGTTGTATAGTATCCTTGAAATATCTTTGTTTGATGTGTTGTCAGGGTAATGCTATCCGAATAAATAATTCTGTTAATGTTTGGTAGAATATTCCAGTGAAACCATCTAGGCTTAGAGATTTCTTTAGGAATGTTTGTGACTACAAATTTAATTTATTTAATATATGAGACCATGTATTTATTTTATCTATCTATCCACCTGTCCATCCATATCTATCCATCTATCCACCATCCCTACTAGTCCTGAAAGAGGATTTGGGTGGCACAGCATATACGACAGTTAGTGTCTGTCTGCTCTTTTAAAGCGTAAACCTCATAAAATCAGGAAGCTATTTTTTTGGTCACATGTAGCTCCGTGCTGGTATTGGTGTGACATGGTAGACACTTCATAAATGTTTGTTGCATGTGTGTTGTGTTTTATATGTGCATTTAGTGGCATAGCTTCCTTTCCCCAGAAATGTTATTAAATTGGTGGTGAATCTGATAATTGTTGAAGTCTTACTAGGAAAAGACATTATTGTCATTTGAACAGCTCTTAAGTACTGTTTTGTGTTATTATTCATTTATATGGTTTAGCCTCTCCTCCTTGCCAAAGA